TTTTCCAAACCACTGCCAATGTAGATTTTTCTCTGATTTTGGAAAAGTTCAAGAAGGAAGGTTTTTTGTTGTATTTTTGATGAAGTACGAAATGTAACGCCCAAAATACTGTGAGTCATTTGTCATGACGTTACAATAGAGCATGCACCCTTCTCCACTGGAAAAGAGAGAGAGCGAGAGAGAGAGAGAGAGAGAGAGAGAGAGAGAGAGAGAGAGAGAGAGAGAGAGAGAGAGAGAGAGAGAAGAGAGAGAGAGAGAGAGAGAGAGAGAGAGAAGAGAGAGAGGGGAGAGAGAGAGAGAGAGAGAGAGAGAGAGAGAGAGAGAGAGAGAGAGAAAGAGAAAGGGAGAGAGAGGGAGAGAGAGAGAGAGAGAGAGAGAGAGAGAGAGAGAGAGAGAGAGAGAGAGAGAGAGAGAGAGAGAGAGAGAGAGAGAGAGAGAGAGAGAGAGAGAGAGAGGAAGAGAGAGAGAGAGAGAAAGATGAGAGATATAGCAGATACATTGATGTATAGATGGATAGATAGACAAACAGATAGATAGATAGATAGAGAAACATAGAGAGACAATATATATATGCATGCATATATCCACACATGTGTGTATGTATATATTTGTATATATACATATATATGCGTATGTATGTATGTATGTATATATGCACACACACACACACACACACACACACACACACACACACACACACACACACACACACACACACACACACACACACACACAGACACAGACACACACACACACACACACACACACACACACACACACACACACACACACACACACACACACACACACACACACACACACACACACACATACACACACACTTATATGCATACAGAGAGAGAGAGAGAGAGAGAGAGAGAGAGAGAGAGAGAGAGAGAGAGAGAGAGAGAGAGAGAGAGAGAGAGAGAGAGAGAGAGAGAGAGAGAGAGAGAGCGATGACGTCATGCATATCCGCGCAGACTGGATTCGCCTACAAGAACGCCGGAGACCTCGATCTGCGAACGGCCTCTGTGACGTGTTTATCCTGACAGCTGACGAAGTAGGAGGAACTTTCTTCACGTTCGAGACTTTCTAAGAAGTCTTAAGAGAAAAAAAAGGTTAGAATTTAAAGAGTCATTGATGTTGAGTTTCTTATTTATGACGAAGTAGTTTTGGTGTTTTTCGTGTTGCTTGTGTTTAGTTTATGTTAATATATTCATGATTTAGATTTAAAAAAAAACATCGAAGAACAATATTTAATAATCCATCAAACGTAAGTATGATTCTGTGGTCGTAGAAGTATATACATATGATATTATTAATTTCCTCTTTATATGAGGAAGTGCGTTATGTGGGCTCCCATTTCACGTACTAAACACGTAAGGTCAAAGGAGCTACTTTGAGTATTGTACTATTTCCTATCTTGTACTATTGTAATATTTCCTTGACCTGTTAAAAGCAGGTTACATACTGTCATGTCAGGGCAAGTAATCACAGTCACCAGGTAGTGCCTCATTAAACCATGAGTCTGTGTCCTAATTTCCGAGATGAAGTTCATGTGTTTTGCCACAGGCTGGGCAGTCGTTCAGGCATGGAGAGGTGTGTGTTAATGTCTTCATTAATAAGGCCACAATTGCTTTTTAGAGTTCACAAATCGTTATTCATGTTTGCTTGGTGTCACTAGTAGATGCAGGCTCCTTAGATGATGGGAAACTTTCACTTCTATTTCTTAACTTTTGTATATATGACATAGTTACTAGGTATTCAGTGCCTATCATTATTCTTGGAGGACAGAAGGAGTTGGGAGGAATCTGCCAATGCATATCAATAACCTGTATTACTAGCAACTAGCTAATTCTTTATACTGAAAGTTAATGATCAAAATTATACATTCAGCATATATGTATACAAGACTTCATAACTATCTCTTTTTAGATAGGTCTTAGTGAAATGACTGACTCACTGATTATGTACTTGCCAAAACTGATTCCCCTTTTTTGTACTTTCAGAATCATGTCGTCAGAAAGTGAAGACGAATTCCAGTCTGCTGATGAAGGGTCAGACTTCGAAGATTCGTACCCCTTGAGTTCACAAGACACAGCCGCAACAAAGAGTGAAGCCCAACTCGTGTCGTCAGCTCCAGCAAAAGAAGTAATGAAAGACAACATGCATACGAAAGAGTCCGTCAAAGATACCAAAAATGAGCCCTCGGAACCTGTAGCTTCAAAAGCAACTCCTGCAGAGGAATTTGATGCAGATGATGAGTCAGAAGAAGAAATTCAGGAGGAACCACAGACAAAGACTTTTGATGACAAAGTAACTAATCTCATGTCTGCTTTAGATCAGTTAAGCCTACGAGTTAATAAACAGCTCACAAAGCCAGTTAGTAAAGCAAAACCAGCGGATGAGATGCTAGAGGAAGATGAAGATGAAGATGGTCACAAAGGATTAACAGAGGAAGATCAAGCAGAGGAGAGAGAGATTATGAAAGAGGAAGAGAGGAAGAGAGAGCTAGAAAAGGAAAAGGAAAAGAAAAGAGAATTGGAAAGAGAGAGAAAAAGAGAGCTGGAAAAGGAAGAAGAAAGAAAAAGAGAAGAAAGAGAAGAGAAGAGGAAACAGGAACTAGAAAGGGAAGAAGAGAAGAGGAAACAGGAGCTAGAAAGGGAGGAAAAGAAGAGGCAACAGGAGCTAGAAAGGGAAGAAGAGAAGAAAAGGGAGATAGAGAGGGAAGCAGAAAGAAAGAGAGAAATTGAGAGGGAGGAAGAGAAAAAAAGACAGATTGAACAAGAAAAGGAGAAGCAAAGACAACTAGAACAGGAAGAACTGAGGAAAAGAGAACTTGAAAAAGAAGAAGAGAGAAGAAGGGAGCATGAAAAAGAAGAATTGAGGAAAAAAGAAATTGAAGAAGAAAAAAGAAAAATGGAAAGGGAAGAAGAGGCAAAGAGGATGGAAGAAGAAGAGAGGAAAAGAGTGTTAGAAAAGGAGGAAGAGAGAAAAAGAGAGATTAAAAGCGAACAAGAAAGGACGGGAGAACAAGAGAAGAATGCAGGAAACACTCAGGACTCAGGAACAGAGAGCCAGAAAGCCAAGCCAATTCGTGAGTCAAAAATTGGCATGAAGAAGCCACGGGAAAAACTGGGAGAGCGCATGGGTGCACGGAGGCTGGGGGCAAAAGTCGAGAAAAAGCCTCTCGAAAGCATTAGTTCAGACAGTTTGAAGAAGCCTGAAGATGCTATGTGGAATAAGGAAGAGAGCCAGACAGACAGTGCAGAACCTAAGCAAAGAGAGGAGGAAAGGCAAAAGCAAGAGAAATGGAGGAAACAGCAACAGTGGGAAGAGCAGCAAAAGAGATGGCAACAGATTAATGAAGGAGAAGCTAAAAAAGAGGTAAGAGGCTTTAAAAATATATATTTACATATAATATTGTGTATTATTAAGCCAACGCTGCTGGGAATTTTTACGATGCCCACTGTAGTTTGGTTTTGTGAATTGTGTTTACATATAGATGGCTCTATAAATGCTTAGCCACCAAGGAGTCAGTAGGCCTACAGGACATCACCTAATTTTCCTCTTTCCTTGAGTTTTCAGGATTTTTTTTTTTCTCAAATGCTATTAATATTGATGCTCTTAATTATTTTCCTAATATTTATGCTTTTAATTATTTTCCTAACATTGATTATAAATTATTAGATAGAGGCCTGTTAAAGTTTGAACTATCAGATAGGCTATGTGTTTTTGTCATTTTACTTGAATTGAAACAAATAAAAGAAATTGTAGTGATATTCATATGCTTCACTTAAAATGCATCGCTTCACTCATTTATAAAAAAAAATTCCAAAGCAGGAAGAAGACACAAGCTGGGGTGGTGGCTGGGGAGGCTGGGGAACAAGTCTTCTCAGTGCCGCATCCACTTTCACCCGTGAAGTTGGCCGGGGTGTTGGCACCGTCATGGAAACCGTGGAAGGGACGCTGGGAGTGCCTGACCCCGAGACATTGGCCAGGGAAATAGCCGAGCGCGATAAGGAGATCATGGAAAAGTTAGCGAAGTCAGAACAAAGTCCTTCAAGAGAGAAAACTCCCGATGCAAATGCAGAAGGTTAATGTTGTATTTATTTGTTAATATTATTATTATTATTATTATTGTTATTGGTATTGTTATTGTTATTGTTATTTTTATTATTGTTATTTTTATTATTGTTATTTTTATTATTGTTATTTTTATTATTGTTATTATTATTATTATTATTATTATTATTATTATTATTATTATTATTATTATTATTATTATTATTATTATTATTATTATTATTATTATTATTATTATTTTACTTTTGATTTGATCATTATTATTGTTATTTTTACTAATATTATATTTATTATTTAACTTTTGTTTTTATCATTTTTTTTTTGTTATTCTTATTGTTAATATATTATTATCATTATTAATATTATTATTGTTGTGATGATGATAGTAATAATGATAATAATGATAATGATAATGATAATAGTGATAAGAAAATAATAATGATACTAATAATAATGATAATAATTATGATAATGATTATAATGATAATAATAATAATGATGATTTTGATAATAATGATAATGATAATGGTAATGAATAATGATAATAATTATTATTATATTTTTATGAATGTTATTGTTATTGTTTTTTAGTGATTTTTTCTCTAAGAAGATAGTGACAATGAAATGTATCCTATGAATCTAAATGTAATATTGAATTTTCAGCAGAGGAACCAGAATCAGAGAAGACAGGCGATACTCCCAGCAGTGGCAGTGCTCCCAGCAACCAAACTGAAGGCAATGCTGGCTACGTCCCAAGTTATGGTCTCGGCGGCCTGTCATCACTAGGCTCTCTCGTGTCAGGTGTCTCAGGAGCTTTGGAGACTGCCAGCTCTAAGGTAAGATTTGCTCCATGTTTGATATGTGCCTGTGTATAGAGATGAGTAGTGTAAAGAGAATTAAGAGAAGAGCTTAAA